GACACTGGGGACAGCATTTAATAATAGCTTACATTGGCCAGGCACGGTGGCTTATGCCTGTAATCCCAGCACTTTGGGAGGCCGAGGCGGGTGGATCACCTTAGATCAGGAGTTTGAGACCAGCCTGGCCAACACGGTAAAACCCCATCTCTACTAAAAATACCAAAAATTAGCCAGGCATAGTGGCAGGCACCTGTAATCGCAGCTACTCAGGAGGCTGAGACAGGAGAATCTCTTGAACCCAGGAGACAGAGGTTGCAGTAAGCCAAGATTGAGCCATTGTACTCCAGCCTGGGCAATACAATGAGACTCCGTCTTTAAAAAAAAAAAAAAAAAATTGCTTACATTTACCAAACAATTTCCGGGCTGAGCTCCTCACTGAGCACTTTCATGTGTCACCTCAAGGAATTCAAGGAATTCTCACCCCAGCCAGTGAAGTGTAGGAATCATGGTTATCAATGTTCCATAAATGATGAAACTCAGGTACACCAGCTGGAGAAACTTGCTCAGGGTCAAGTGTCCTGTGTTCTTTTTCCATGCCCTAAGCATTTACCCCACTGAATTTTCATTTCTATGCCTGGATGAAATCTCAGACAGGACCTGTAGCCTTTTCCGTTCATCTTCAATAATTTAGAGTCCCCGGATCAGTTTCAGGCATGGAAGAGTGCTGCCTCACATCAAGATCAAAACTCCACCTCTGGTCCAGTTAAATTGGTTTCTCTTCTCCCAGCTCAGGCCTGCGTTGGCTTGGAGACCCTGTGAAGAAGGTAGTTAACAAACATCATTTTCCCCTTTTCTTGCTCCAGCTCCTCTCCTGCTCCTTATCAGACGGCTCTACCAGCCTCTACTGGGCAGGCCCCGAATTGCATAATGAGCAAGGGACGGACAGAGCGTTCAGCGGAGGTGACAAGGTTTCTCTCGTGGCTCTTAAGCGGGAATCGATGTCCCCTGGGCATGGTGCATTTCAGAGCTGGTTCTCTCTGGGAGCTTTTAGGTTCTGTGGAGGCAGCCACGCCTCTCCTCAGCTAGCGGATGCCCCCAGCCTTCTCAAAGGAGGGCTTTGGGCGGGCATTTTTTCTGTTGGCCTCCTTTGAAGGGACTTCTGTGAGAATACTCCCAGACCACCTTTCCCCGGCACATATGTGGGCGGAGCAAACCCTCATTTTTGTGCCTGTGGAAAGGCAGCTTCATCCTGCCTGTGCGGTCTGGTTAGAGAGTCCATTACAGACTCTGCTCTTAGACTTCTCAGACTGGAGGTATAAGCCAGTTCCCAGGCTCCTCAGCTCCAAGGGGCCTGTGTTGGGCTTTTTTGGGTGCCCTTGAATTCAGCCCCAGCCAGTGTGAGATGAGAGGACGCTGTGGCCACCATTGTGTACCTGAGCACCGAGTGAAGGGCTTCAGGCAAAGCTATTCCTATTCCAGTAGACTTGGTAGCTTGCTTTGCCCACCTGACATCATGTGAAACCTTTGTGGGTAACAAATTGTACCCAGTCCACTCCCTCCTGACTTGCCACTTGGAGGATCCTGCCACAACGTAGTGCATATTCACTTAACGTCAAAATAACTTTTCCATTTGATCGACATGCCTGTGCGAGTTTTGTTCTGTTGCACTAGTATGCCTCAGCACACCTCAGGAGCACCACTGGGGTGGACTTTCCTTGAACTGTATCTGTAAAAACGTTAGAAGGTAAAAGTTGGCCTTCCCTGCATCTCTACACCTGGTTCTACATTTACTTCCCATCCTCCGGTCATATAGAGTAGATGTGTCAAAAGAAACCAGACTTTAAAAAGTTGCTGAAAAAGTGGAGAAATGATTTACTCATCTTTGTCGAAAAAATTAAAGTGCCCAATTAAAACAAAATAATGGAAACCTAGAGCAAGAGGATACTTTATTAAATAACATTGGAAAACCTACTCTAGTCAGCTGAAAGAGTACGCTAAAATATGACTAGAATACTGGAATCAGAAGTTTAAATATTATTAGGAAAAGTCTGTGGTTTTAAAAAATTTATAACATGATAGTGTTGTTGTCCAGAAGATTATTTTGCTTGCAATCTGGAGCTGATTGCTAATGGCAATACTAAGGTCAGAAAGAGAAGATTCAGCCATCAGAATTATAGATGGTGAAGGATTTCACCATGGAGATAAGAAGGAAAAAGACACAGCATTCAGTAATTGGAAAAGTGCAGGTCCTGAAAGGGTGGTGGTTTTGACTTAATGTTTCCAGATGGGTGACACTCTGATTTCATACTTTCTGTCCAATTTATAGTGTGCAAAATCAGTCTCTTTTGGTGCGTGCCTTTTACTCCTCCATTTGCTCTTTCATTTTCTCCACTTTGCATTCTTTACAAGTTATGCTCACAGTATAAAAGAGGTTAATGAAAGTGGTGATGTGCTTGGAAGAGAAGGAAAAGGGAAGATGTTGAAAAGGAGAGCATATCTTATTAATTAAAATGAATAAATACTTTGGGAGACCGAGGCGGGTGGATCACAAGGTCAGGAAATCGAGACCATCCTGGCTAACATGGTGAAACCCTGTCTCTACTAAAAATACAAAAAAAATTAGCTGAGCGTGGTGGCGGGTGCCTGTACTCCCAGCTACTCGGAAGGCTGAGGCAGGAGAATGGCATGAACCCAGGAGGCAGAGCTTGCAGTGAGCCAGGATTGCACCTGCAACCAGGATTGTTGCAGGCTGCACTCCAGCCTGGGCAACAGCGAGACTCTGTCTCAAAATAATAATAATACTAATTAATGTCTAAATAAAATGGATAAATAAAGGAGGCAATGGAATGGCATTGCTGTTGGTTAAAAATGGCTCAGGCAGAGGGAGCAGCAGGAGTGGACACAGTGGGTGAGAGACCACTGTAGTTGTAGTTCTGTTTGGCTTAAGCCCAGGGTGCAGAGGAGGAAGGGAGCAAGGATTAGAGAGGAGAGTGTATACTTCCTGCCAGCCACTTCTCTGTAGTCAAGTGGGAAGCTGGGAATGACTCATCCTCAACATGCACCTCCTCCCGCTTCGCATCCTGCCTGTCTCCCAGTTCAGCCCAGTGTGTCTCTTAAACATCCCTTGAAACTGTCCACTCTTTTATCCATCCTAAAGCCACCCTCCTGGTAAGAGTGAAGTAAATGAAAATGCCTGTGTGCTCTTATTTAACCCACTCAAAAAACCCTAAAAAGGTAGGTACTATTGCTATCCCCATTTTCCAGATGGGAAATCTGAGGCACGAGAAGATAAAGTGACCTCCCCAAGGGTACTCAACCATTACAGGGCAGAACCATAGGCAGTGCCATATTGGGCGGTGCTCAGAGCCCAGCTGCCATGTCCCCTCCCCTGGGAAGCTCTGACCCACCTCTCTGCAGCCACACTTAATCCCCACTCATCCTGTCCCCATACTGCAGCCAGAGGAGTTTAAAAAAAATACACGTATGACCATGTCACTAATGCTCAATTACCTCATAAAATCCAAAGTCATCTGCCTTTCCCCTATACCTAGCTGGCCTCTTACCGGTGTCCCCTAGCACTCCAAACCAGCCATCAGAGTGTCTTGAATGTACCATGAACTCAAAAGCTGCCCTGATGAGGGATGGCCTCGCCTCCTGGGTCTTTATTGGAGTTCGTCTCCTCCTTACCCTTCTTTTACCTTCAAGTCCTTTGCCACAGTCCTGCTGAATTTATTTTCTACATCATTCATTCAATTCACATTTATCAAATGCATTTTGAATCTTTAAGTTCAGGATTTTTCTATGTCTTACACATAATTACTCCACCAATAGGTAGTAATTGATTGAACACAGCCATAATTCAGTGAGTACTCTTGTATTGTAAGTGCATCTGTCTTCCATTTGTAAAGAATCCAAAAGTTAACATTGCCGTGGGAAACTGCATTTTTAGTTCAAAGACAAGAATGTGACTGTTCTTAAAAGGGAAGCCAAGAGTATAGATATGAGAGTGATCGGAGTCAAGTTGGAACCTGATGCTTCAAGTCAGTATGCACAAATACTGTTACCAGAAAAATCAAAAAGCAGTGTTCCAGAGAACAGTTTTACACATATTGTAAACGTTTTGTTATCTGGCATGTTAGGAAACTAGAAGAATCAGTTCTAGAATTCTTAATAACTTCAAAGGTAAATTGCTTCTTTTATTTGCTCCCAAGAATGTTTGAGCTGAAGACATTTTTCAGCTCACCAGATTCAACACATTTGTTTTTATAGATAAGAAAATCAAGACACTTAGATGTCAGGTGACTTAGAGCTCAATTACTCAGGCTTGCTCTTTCAGTAACCCCCTTTTCCTGCTGTGAGACACAGGGGAATTACTCATTCTCACATAGAAACTTCTGTGGGTGAATCCAGGTTGTGTTCAGTTCCCAGGGCCCTTGCTCTAACTCCATTGCTTTCTTTCCTACTTAAAATTTAAAAACTAATTAGGCATTTAACTATCCTTTTCTTTTTCGTTACGAGAAGCACTCTTTAAAGAGGAACTAACAAAACAGCAGCCTGAATTTGGCCAACAGTGTTTTTAATATTGAATTTTTAAATCGGGAGAGTTTGTGCAGAGCTCTGGATTTGCTGCTGTGTCAACAATGAACCACATTCCCCATGGCAGCCCGTAGCTGGGAGCTCCTTTCCCCAGGCCACACACTCTCCCATTATCTGCCTGGCCTCAGAGGCTTGGAGGCACAAATTGCCCGGATTACAGGAACTTTGGCTTTAGCATTTTTTTTCCAAATAAACTGTGTATGAGGTTCATTCTCTATATCTAACCACCTCCAGGATTGCAAATGTTCTTGAGTCTCCCCAAGGTTATGGTTAAGCTGAGGGTCCTGTTCACCTGACTGCACCTGTGAGGAGCTGGCAGATTGGAAGTTAGAAAGGTTCAGGCCACTTTGGTTTTAAAAACTTGGAATTCTCTGAGATTGCTATTTCTGTGCCTAAAAAGCTCAGACTTTTGCTCATTCAGAGACAAGAAACTTTGGCCTGTTTCCTCTGTGCTGGAGGCATTTGGGTTCTAATGGGATGCTGGCTAGCACAGAAATGGGCTTCCCCCCTTTCCTGTTGCTATACTCAAAGGCAACAAACAGCATCACCTGGGATCTGGGGAGAAATGCATAATCTGGGCCTCACTCGAAATCTACCAAATCCGACTGTGCTTTAAGGAGATCCTCGAGGGGTTTACAGGCCCATTAAAGTTTGAGAAGCACCACTAGAGTGAGTAGTGGGAGATAACATTGCTCTTCTTCCTTGTCCTTGGGTCCTTTGTCCCCCAGCTGGCTCTATGTGCCATGTGTTCTCCCTGCACAGACCAGGACTCCCCCACAGATGATGTGCTCCCCCCACCACCCGCCGCCACCATCACCCCCAGGCCAGATTGCATTTGAGTTCATATCTGCTCTGATTTGCGAACCATTTAGCACTTTGGCTTTGCCAAGTTTATTTTCCCCAGTCCTTTTTATCCCTTCATGAAATTTTCAAATGGATGCTAAACAGGGTAGAATATAGCCAAGATGGTTTGTGAATGGAAGTTTCTCCCACCCACAGGCTGTGTTCTCCGTCCTGAGTCATAAGTCAAGGATCAGGCAAGGCTACATAATTATTTTTGTTGATGAAACCCTACGGGGCCAAGATCTAATTTTCCTTCCTCAAAACAACACGAAGCCCCTCCCAGCCTGGCGGTTTGCCTGACCATCCCATCAGCGCCTGACTGTACCTCAGGGGGCCTGTTCAGGACATCAGAGGGCTGACTGCAAGGCCACAGCCAGTAGAGTGTCATGTGCCACAGTGTTCTCTGAACAGACCTCATGGTTATCTCGTACAAAGTCTGCACTACAAAACTCAGAGTATTTCTCCAGCACTATATAGCTCCGTCCCTGCCAACACTGTTTCACACTAAAAAATAAAAGAACCAGAGTTAAGGATTAAGTAAATATTACAAGAGACAGCAACCTAGGTCACCTGCTTATTTTTGAAGTAGGTTTACTTTGTTGGCTAAACCAGGTAGAAAACTTGGATTATGCCTTAGTATCCCACAATACCCCAAACAGTATATTTAGTTTGTTCTGTTGCTTTTGGGTCTTCCAATAAGATGATGTTGTTTTTTTTTTCCTTCCCAGAGTTCACATCAAATCTATAAACTCTAACCATGATCATGTCAAAACATCATCACTGTTGAAAATTATTAGGGAAATTGGGAATAGCAGAGGAGGAGTGGGAAGGGGTAGAAGCCAAAAGGAAATGAAGTATGAAGTACTTGCAGGTAATTGCTATTTCTGACGTAATTCTTTCACACAGGTTTTAAGATAAGTAATTGTTGAGGGGTGTGGAACAATTGCGAGTGCTAGAGGAGCCGTCCTGAGGGTGTCTGCCACATGAATATAGAAAGCAGTGTGCAAGGAAGACAAGCAGCTTTCTGGAAAATGCTTCCTAGAAGATAGACTGGTGTTCCTCACTCTTGTGAATCAACAGTCAGGCTTTTTATTCAGTGTTGCCAACAGTACCAAAGCCTACCTCAACAGACATGCAGGTGTGCATGGAAGGCCACGCCAGTGGTGTAGGTGTTTTAGGCTTCTGGTCCAAATATGATAGAACTAGAAGAGAAGATGGTTAGAAGAGAAGCACAGGCCTGCATGAGGAGGAATGTTACATGAGAACTACAACTCATCTTCAGAGAGCATTGGCCTAAGAACAGTCAGTGCAGGACCATAGAAAAGTTCACTCATTCACCAATATTCCAACACGCCATTTTGAAACTGGAAGTAACTCCTTCATTCTTAGATCCTCAGAACCTCATGATTTTAAAGGAAGAAGGGATTGAAGGAATCTTGTCCAACTAACTCGTGCCCCAGGAGAAGGGAGGTGAACTTTGTCTCCCACTGCCCACTGGGTGGTATTCCCTACTCTAGTCCTCAGGCACAAAGCTGAAGGGTACAGATCTTGGTCCTGCCCCTCACTGTGCCCCCAGACCTTCTGGTATTGCCCTGGAGTCAGCCCTCTCCTAAGATTCCCGGGTATGATGCCCTCGGAGTTGCACGCTGGCCCAGGCTCTGCTGCCTGCTCTGGCTCTGAGTCTCCTCTGTAAAGAGGATGAGATTGTGCCTCCAGAGGAATCAGGGCTCCCTTCTGGCAGTTCATTCAAAATGTGTTCAAAGAAACAATCTCATTTCAACTTAATGGGAGGAGGTGTTTTTTTAAAAAACCGAATTAAGGTATCAAAATAGAACCGCACAATTAAAGGAAATTGTTAACGTAGGTATTGCCTTGGGGTTTCTCAAATCTTGCATAGGAAAATATTTTTATGAGAACAAACCCCTTCGCAGATTACTAAAATTATCTCTAACAAAACCTGGTGATGGGTTGCATTTAGAGATTTAAGAATTTCAGAAAATTATAAGGAGAAATATCAGCATATTTGGTTGTAATATGACTTTATTTATTTTGTCAATTAGTTATTTGGCATGTTAGTTGAATAGGTTACTCTCTTAACATTCCTAATGATAACCAAAGATGCTGTTAAGGTTATTAGCCCGTTGCTTTGGAGTGCTGATGCGTTTGTAAATGTTCTCGGCCTGCAGTAACAGGTTATGGGACGAATTGTTCCAGGGGCTGCAGGGGTAAGTGTTATATTATATGGCATATGAAATAAAAAGACTCCTTACAGAATTACAGTAGGAATATTGATAAACGTTCAACTATTGACAGGTGGGTTTCGTCGTTGTTGTTGACTTGGTAGTCAAGTTTTCCCATGAAAGCTTACCTATTACCCAAGTTTTCTATAGTATTAAAGTAACATATTGTTAGGTATGATTGACACTTTTAAGACTTTGTTCCTAGTACTGTTAGGGGATTTGGAAATATACATACCATAAAGAAACTTTTGATTTCTGCTCATTAAGTATGAAAAATTATGGATAACTTAGGGACAATCAAATTATCTACTCATATGGTAAATCTGGAAGTATTTCTAGGTTTCTTCTAATGTTAAAAAAAAAAGTAAGCTTGTGTTTAATGGGAGCAACTCCATGCACATTTGTGGTTTTCAGGAGAAAGTGTTTTTAAATATATTGGTTGGCCAAAGTAAGATAACTGAAACGTTGAGTTTTTGGGTTTTTTTTTTTTTTAAACTTTGTAGCTTTGCTGCCAATCCCATTTCTTGCCCTTTTCAGTTTATGAAGTTATAAAAGGGATTGTTGTAAGTGTTCCTGAGAGATTGGGAGTACGGAGGGAGAAGTTTTGCTTCATTGCAAAAGAGATAATTCACGACGTTGCAACTGGGGGCACGGAAGGGATTCCTAGGAACTCAGTAGCATGTAATGAGCTGGAGAACCGGACTTGGCTAAGCCCTCATTCCTACGTTCATCTAGTATTTGCTGGGTTTTGAGCTAAGAAATGCCAACCGGGCGTGTTCAGAAGGCGGATCTCACCAATCCGGAGGCAGCTGGAAGAGTTCGCGCGTGGGAAACCTTAGCCCTTTCTTTCTTCCCAGCACAGCGTTGTGCTGCCGTGCGTCGGCACAGGCGGGGGTGCAAGGCCCGGGTTGTCCCCCTCGCGCAGTTGGGGAAACAGCTGCTGAGCTGCGGCCCGCGACCCTCGGCCGCGAAGGGGCGGGGCGGGGGCGCTGCGGGGTTTCTCTGTTGCTAGAGCCGTGATGTCACCCGCCCCTCCTAACCCGCGGTTGGTTGTTTTGTGTTTCAGCTCTGCCTGCAGTTGAACACAAAGACCTGGAGGAGACTCCCACCTCTTCAGGGAGAAGAAAGGAGGCAGCGAAGCAGATTAAAGGAACTTGTGGCTTGTGGCCTTTTTGTGCAAGGGCTGCCTGAAAGGGGAGAAAAGTGTATGAAAGCCACCGTGGCGGTTAATGAGCTGTGAGATGAGGCGCTGCTGCGGCCGCTGCTGCTGACACTCGCTCCCAGGCTGCACCCGCTGCCCTTGGCGCTTCATGTACATGTGTCTATTCAGGCCGTGCGGAGGCGTCCAGAAGAGCATCCAACACGGCTGCCGGGGAAAGACCGCCCACCATGCCCACGGAGACCCTACAGACAGGTAGCATGGTGAAGCCGGTCAGCCCCGCGGGCACCTTCACCTCTGCCGTGCCCCTACGTATCCTGAACAAGGGGCCAGACTACTTCCGCAGGCAGGCCGAGCCCAACCCCAAGAGGCTCAGCGCCGTGGAGAGGCTGGAGGCCGACAAGGCCAAGTACGTCAAGAGCCAGGAGGTGATCAACGCCAAGCAGGAGCCCGTAAAGCCCGCCGTGCTGGCCAAGCCCCCGGTGTGCCCGGCTGCCAAGCGCGCGCTGGGCAGCCCCACGCTCAAAGTATTTGGCAACCACGCCAAGACCGAGAGTGGCGTGCAGAGGGAGAACCTCAAGCTGGAGATCCTGAAGAATATCATCAATAGCTCCGAGGGCTCCAGCTCGGGCTCGGGGCACAAGCACAGCTCCCGCAACTGGCCACCCCACCGGTCGGAAACCACCGACCTGCACCGTCACTCCTTCGCGGAGTCCCTGAAAGTCTATCCCACGCAGGGCCGCGGCAGCCCGCAGGAGGGCGGCTCCCACGTGAGCAGGAGACTGCTGGAGCAGTCAGCCGAGTCCTTCCTCCATGTGTCCCACAGCTCTTCGGACATCCGCAAGGTGACCAGCGTGAAGCCCCTCAAGGCCATCCCCTGCAGTAGCTCTGCCCCTCCCCTGCCTCCCAAGCCCAAAATCGCAGCCATCGCCACCATGAAGTCCCCCGAGGCCGACCCTGTGGAACCAGCTTGTGGAGTCAGCCGAAGACCCTCCCTCCAGCGGTCTAAGTCAGACTTGAGTGACAGATATTTCCGAGTGGACGCGGACGTAGAGAGGTTCTTCAACTACTGTGGACTGGACCCGGAAGAGCTGGAAAACCTGGGAATGGAAAACTTTGCAAGGGCTAATTCTGACATAATATCCCTCAACTTCCGCAGCGCAAGCATGATCAGCTCAGACTGTGAACAGTCTCAGGACAGTAACAGTGACCTTAGAAATGATGACAGTGCCAATGACCGTGTGCCGTATGGCATTTCTGCCATCGAAAGAAATGCCAGAATCATCAAGTGGTTATATAGCATCAAACAAGCTAGAGAGTCACAGAAGGTCTCCCACGTGTAAGACAGTGCGTGGAAAGGAGGGAGGGTGGGTCTCTGTGCTTACGCAGTTGTAAAGGTTGTGAGGTCTCCTTGAAGTGTTGTGAGCTTCTCCACTCTTTGTGTTGCTTGTTGTGCAATGTTTTCAAGTTGCATGCCTGTCAACATGGGGACTGACCTGGCTTCCACGTCACCATCGCTGCAGAGCCTGGCCTAACACGCGTCATCTGCCAAAAGTTTCAGGCCAGAATCTAATTAGGGCTTTGCTCTTAAGCAAAACTGTTTACATGAAAATGGTATACGACTTCTTCAATATTTATGTGGTTCTTGTGTTTTTATATCCCGCGCTATTATGTCTTAATTAAAAGTTTTATCAACTGGCTTTTAAGTTGAGAGCAGAATCTTTTTGAAATAAAAAGCCACTTTGCCTACATGTGAGACTATTCCAATGGGACAGTAAATGGGATCTGCTACCAAACAGATAGTGACTGACCACACATAGAACCAGGCTGGGTTTTCTGTGGAATAAAGTGGTGAGCCTGACGTTAATCGTTTACATGTTGAAATTCTCTTGCCACTTAGTGAAGTGTCGCTGGGGTAACAATGCTAAGTTTTGTGTCCAATTCAGTGTGTAAATGTTGGTGGTTCTGTGTAATGCTGACCCCAAGGAAAGACAATCAGATAAAATGAAGGATGGTTAAATCTAGGAGGTTGGGTGTTTGGGGGTTTTGTTGATGTTGTTCTGATTTGGGATATTTCAGAAATTTTTAATACTATCTTTTGACAGAATGGCCACCCTAAAACAAATACTGAATGCCTTTAAAAAAAAAAAAAAAAAAGTTGTGTTTGTTTGTTTTTGTCGAGAACTACTAATTTCATGCTGTTTCTTTCTTTCTCCCTTTGTTGTTATTTGATTTGAGGGAAGGGAGTGAGGCTTGTGCAGGTTTGAGCTATCAGAAGACATGAACAGAAGTGAAAATACCAGCCATATCAGTAGAGCCTCCCATTCAAAAGTGAACACACTTGGTAGCTGAACCATATCTGAGCAGCGTGATTCTGTTGTCTTGCATATGTTACTCTCTCAGGCTGTGGGTCTCTGTTACAGCTCTAGGAAACTGTAGAATTTCAATGCTATGTAGCTTTTCCACCCCATGGTCTCTAGTGCTGCCTATCAACTTGTCCCCTTTTTTTCCCAATAACCTGGCTTTCAGGTGGTACAGTTAGCTGTCACTCAGCTGACTCTATGATGTGGCAGCAGAGAGGGAAACCTACAAGTGGTTTGCCTCATTGCCTTTGCCACATCTGAAGTTCTCAGCAGCGCTACCTTAGACTTCATCAGCTAATAGGAAACTTTTTATGGTGTAAATGCTGTAAGACTTTGTACATACTTCAGTTGTTATGAAATCTTTAAAGAAAAAAAAGAAAAAGTTACACTAATAAATTGCTCTGGTGCAGGCACTAATGGTGGTGGTTTCTCTTTGTCCTTCTGTATTCTCCTTCCACAAAAGTTTGACTTTGGACTATGAATCAGAAGCAGATTTTTGATAGTTTTGAAGAAACATTATTTCATTAAGTTATATTCACCACATTCCAATTACTCCAAACACCAGTGTTCTTAATTGTGGCTCTAGCAATGTGCTTTTGCTAAAATGGTTACATCAGGGTTCCTAAAATGTGCTGCAGCATCTCAATTCACACTTGTGTTATTTTTGTCTTTTCTTAAACATCAGGATTTTTTTGCATCTTCCACATGACTCTTCAGTTGTAAATATTTATGCGTTCTCACCTTGGAGGCATACCTTCGAAATGTATGGCTTTGTTTTTATTTGTACCATCCCAACATCCGTACCTTGGCATGTTTTCACACACTGGCTCCTCCACTCCTTCCTTCATTCCTCTTGAAAATGTCACTTGTTGAGTGAGTGACTCCTTCCAGGTATCATGGTAGGCACAGGACTTTCATAGTCAACAACACAGTCTCTGCCTCAAGGAACTTAGATTTTCCCCTTTATTTTAAGAGAAATAAAATTCCTCTTAGTGGACATGTCCTATCTGCTGTATTTGGACAATGAGTATTCCATGATTATTTATTACATCAAGTTATTTGAAAATTAATATTTCTTGCAAAATTCCATATACTACGCAAATGTAAAATAAAGCCCTCTTTAAAAGGTAATTTTCAGAAACAAATTATATGATTCTCAACTATTACTGTTTATAAATATTTTCCTTCTCAAAAGCAAATATGCTTCCTTGACTCTTTCTCCTGGTTTTGAATTCTGCCTGGTTTTTTTATTCATGTTCAGTAAAACTAAAACCCTGCTTCCCAGAAGAACTATTTTGGAATGCAGCTATGAGTGGGGATGATACAATGTGTTCAATATAATAGAATAAAAATAAGTTTTCTAAAAAAAAAAAAAAAAGAAGCAAAATTTTCTTTCCTACCATTTGTGTAGAAATGTGGCCTTTTAAAACATACATGGCTTAGCATTGACATATTCATCTCTTTCAGTAGTATTCATCTCTTTCTAGAGCTACTGAAATACCAAAAATAGATATTATTTTCCTAAGGAAACCCTTGTCTGGGGAGATGAGCACTTAGCTAATTTACTATCACTGCTTGTGCTATTTGAGTCATAGACAGTGTTTGAATCTTCCAGTATTTCGCTACTGTGTGCAATCTGTATTCAGACAGGCCTATAAATCACCCCACTGTAATTCAGTCTAATCCTCTGTGGCCTTACTTGTACAACAGACAGATGTGAGGCTTTTGGTTCCAATGGAAGATGGGCGCTCTTTATTTTCTTTTTGTTCTTGAACTAGCATTTCTATAAAGAACTATTTTTTCAAATGCTTAATATTAAATCCTAAGAGTGTGGCATTTCTTTTGAAGTACTCTTTGTGATGGGCTCATTCTTCTAAGTTCGTGGAAGAGAGAGTGTGTGTGTGTGTGTGTGTGTGTGTGTGTGTGTGTGTGTGTGAATACTGGTATAAATATGGTGTCATATAGTTCACGTTTTTTTTTCCTACACAATGCAGAATGAAACATGATTGCACTAGATGGCCTTGGAAACTACCTGTTTCTTTCTGAAAACCACCAAATCTTAAGACAGTCCTCCCATATGCAACCCCTCTGCCATTGCCTTAGTTCATGTTCTCATCATCTCTTACCTGAACTGTTGATTCTAGAAGTTCCTAACTGGAAGTCTCCCTCACTCCCCAACCGGCCTCTTCCCCATTCCATTTCATGCCAGAAATATCATCATCAACTCTGATCATATCACTCCCCTGTGTAAAGACTTCCTCTGGCTTCAATAGGTTGCTGACAGGCTAATCCTAACTTCCTATAACAGAGGGGCATATGACTCTCAGATCTTGGTCACCAAGCCCAGGCCCCCAGACTCCAACCAAAGGGAAGTTTCCTTCGGAAAATTTTCACCACTGAATTTCTAATCTATTACGTAACAAATTGTCCCAAAACTCAACAACTTAAATAAACAATTATTTTTGTAGTTCCTGTGGATCAGGAATGCTAGAGTGGCTTAACCAAGTGGTGTTGGCTCAGGGTATTTCACGAGGCTGCAGACAAGATGGCAGCTGGGGCTTGACCACTTCCAAGATGGCTCACAAGGTATTAGCAAGAGGCCTCAATTCTCTACAGCATGGGCCTCTCCCAGGGGCTGCCTGAGAGTCCTTATAACATCTGGTTCCCCCTAGAGGGAGTGACCAAGGAGAGGGAGCAAGGAGGATGCCACAATGCCTCATACAGTTCAGTGTCCTGGATCACACACATTCAATATGTGTGATGGCTGTCCATCACAATCAGTTCACTAGAAATGGGTTACTAAATATAGCCCACTGTCTCAAGGAGAGGAGTGAGACACATATTTTAAAGGGAGGAATATCAAGGTAACTTATGGACATATCTTAAAACTGCCATTGCTGTGGAGTTTCAGTAGCTCTTCACTCTGGAAGGAATGTTTTCTCCTCCCTCCTTGACCACACAGACACTTGCTCTTTCAATACTCAACACAACCATCAATCAGTGCAATTTTTTTTTTGAGTTTCCGTGTTGCCTTTCCCCACTAGATTATATTTTTTGTCATGGCCATGACCCAGCCTTTTCTAGCCTAAATAGTGCTTTGTGTGAATTTTAAAAAGGTGTGCCTTCCTCAAAATATTCCCTGCCAAAAAAAAAAAAAATGAAAACATCCTAATAAACATGCAAATCTCTAATGACTGTGATGCAAACTGTGGTCCCAGAGTTGGGCAGCAAGCAGCAAACACAGAAGCCCAGGGTAAATAAGAGGTTCTTAATCAGTATGTACTGACTTTTTTTTTTTCCACGTTCACGTCCTATGCTAAACTATAAATGTCACCACAATAAATCCAAAGTGATAGTTATTGTCCCCATTTTAGAGGTGAAGAAACTTAGTTCCATGGAGATTATGCACCTTAACCAAGATCCCAGAGAAAGAAATTTGCGGAGTGGAACTTGAAACTCAACTCTGATTCGAAATGTTTTGAGGAAGGCATGCCCTCCCTACAGTCCAGTTGAAGATAAGAAGAGGCAAACTGAGTGGGTTATGCTTACACACAGAAGGGCCCTTACATTCATTTTGGTATTTTTAACTGATGCCTGTGTGAAAAAACAGTCCTCAAGCAGTCAAAATTTCAGCGATTTCATTCGTACCTAAATGGGAGCCCATAAAGTTAGAAAAAAGACTTCAGCTCTTCCACTGTGGGTAACACACAGCCCACTGAGTTCAAAGAGACAAGGACATTCGAATTGTGTGCTTTCAGTTTTGTGTGTGCCATATTTTAAAATCGCATCCTGTCTGTTTTGATCAAGGACTTTTAGAAGGGTAGAGAAAAATGGCCACAATTCAACAATCAGGAAACACATTTTGACTATTTGGTGAGTCAGCATCACTGTGTTCTCCCATCCTTGCAGGTGTAGCTGGCATGTTCTGACCAGAAGGAGTAAAGAGGGTAAGGATGCTCCAGATAAACCGAGTAGATTTCTAACTCGGTAGTCAGAAGAGATGGCTAATCTCATCAGCATTTTGAACATGCCAAACCTGACTTGTCCACTTAGCCCTGTAAAATAACTGGGGTTCTCTCACTTTCTACAGTGCTGAACAAGAGCTGAGCTGGAAGGACCCCAAGCTGGGTGGCTGCATGTGTGGCTCTGCACAGGTCACCTTCGTGAGGGTTTCTCCTGTGTGTTCAGGTCCTGACCCCTTGCTTTGGCAGAAACTCTGGAGAAGGAAAAGCCAGAAGGAGATGGGCCTCGGCTGCCTTTTAGAACCCCTTCCTCCAATACCTGGGACTCATCTGCCTCAAAGTGTGCCGTCATTCCCTCACCTGGAAAACGGGGGAAGGCCATCAAATGGATGTAAGGCCTTGGCCTCACATCCTATGCTAAACTATAAACAACATTTGTAGTTCGTTTATAGTTTAGCATAGGATGTTTATTGCACGGATAACTGTTTTTGAAGCATTAGGATGATGTGTGAAGAATATGAGAATTCAGAGAAAACAGGGTTCATGGGCAAGTAGGACAGCAAGTGAGGTCCAATGGGGGCCAAACACTTAATGGAACAGCATTTTAGGCTCTGTCTACCTGAGAGAGTGTTAATTGGGGAAGGAAATGAAGGGTTCTTTTCTAAATGGAAGGAATCTCCAGAAAAAGCCTCATTAAACTTTCAGATTGACCGAGGCTGACAGAATTGAATGTGGCCAAGTTCACACCAAGATACCATCCAAAGTTGTGAGGATAAAGATTATGAGAGTCTTTTACTAGTTGAACGTTCTTTTCATGTGACATTCATGAAACAACTATCAGCATGTCTTAGATGGACACTATGCTAAGCACTTTGTCACATTATCTCACTTTATTCTCACAAGAACTTTAGAAGTAAATTAGAATCCATCTTACTGATGAGGAAGCTGAGGATTAAGTTTCTTCTCCAAGGCACACATCCAGTAAATGGAAAAAGCGAAACACAAACCCAGGTTCATAAAACATTAAGACTCATTCTATCATATGAAAATGAATTTTTAATATCTAGGATGGCGGGAGCCACTTTTGCTTCTTTGCAGTAAGTTGCATCTCATAACATTTCTCAGAACTTAAAACACTGTTGAACATACTGGTTTGTGATTGTTTCATAGAGTGAGTGACTCAAAACTATTGAGCGTATGGGATCACATCAGGACCCATGTTTTTGGGTTCTTCTGAGAGGGACATTAGTAATAAATTGTCCCTCTCCATGTTACTGTACAAAAGAGAAAACAGAGATCCAGGTAAATAAGGTGGTGGACACAGCCAGGGCTGTAGGGCAAGGGAACTGGCAGAGGGGCTGGAACAGGGAGACAGATGCTCAGACCCCATGAAGGAGCCTGGATCAAAGAACAGTGGAGCCTCGCAAGGCTAACAATTCCATCGTGCCAAATAGGAGCAACCTGAATAACATAAACTCTTGTTTTGTTTTGTTTTGTTTTGTTTTGAGATAGAGTCTCGCTGTGTCACCCAGGCTGGAGTGCAGTGGCACAATCTCGGCTCACTGCAAGCTCCACCTCCCGGGTTCACGCCATTCTCTTGCCTCAGCCTCCCGAGTAGCTGGGACTACAGGCGCCCGCCACCACGCCCAGCTAATTTTTTTGTATTTTTAGTAGAGACGGGATTTCATTGTATTAGCCAGGATGGTCTCAATCTCCTGACCTTGTGATCTACCCACCTCGGCCTCCCAAAGTGCTGGGATTACAGGCATGAGCCACTGCGCCCAGCCAACTCTGTTATTTTTAAGCAGTTTCCCTTGACTCAAAAACTATGTATCAGATATTTAAAGAAACTTTGATTTAGAGCTTTTCTGTTAATATACATTAACTTTTTTAATTAATCCTAGCAAACATAAAATACTTAATAAAGATGAAGAAATTTCTCTAAGGAAGTTTTTGTCAATTTTGGAAATGAGTACCACTATCTTATTATTTTATTAACTTCACCATCCATAGATGCCCAGTGATCCTCAAGATCTCAAGAACCATCTTTCCAGGTCTGGTTCCTCCACCTCCTTGTCTGCTGAGGTGGACATTGCCACTGGTTCTGATATCCCCTTCTCTCTCCTTCCAGGATCATAGGAGGATGGCATTTCTACACCCCGTAGCATTAGGTGTGGCCAGTGAGTCACCAACAGAAGCGACATGCTACAGATGGGAGGCAGCATAAAGAGCCAGCCCACGATTGTCTATCTTCTCTTCCTCCTGACCTGGCAACCAGCAGAGTCCCAGAGGGCAGAGCTTCCATTAGGATCCTGAACAAGGACAGTGTGGAACAAAGGCCTCCATCCTAACCCAGAAGGACTGTGTCAATCCAGGGTTATCCTTCTAAGCCACTGAGAGTGTGGGGTTCTTTTTT